AGCTGTAGATACTGTCCCTTGCTGAATTTCTTACACTCTCTGTTCCAGCTAGGGTAGCAGCTGGGAGCAATGAGTTTCCTGTGGGAGACCTCACAGCTGCTGAAGACTACAGTGGAGGGCCTAGTAATCCTTCATTTGCCTCCAAGGCACTCTTAGTGGCCTGGTACTGTGGGAAGACAAGAAATAGAGATGAGGTGAAACCAAAGCACACCAGGGAAAAACGGTGTGGGTATTGTTTGCCGGGCCTGTGGCTTAGACAGTGTGGGCAATTGGCATACATGCACAGCCTGCCTCAAAGAATGTAAGTGTGATGGAGAAGAGACTGTCTGCAGCTGCAAATAGTAACTGGGAAGGAGGGTGGCTAGGCACACTCCCAGAAGCTTGCACAGTAGAAATGTGGTAGGCATGGGCATTGGAGAGAGCTACTGAAGAACTAACTGCTTCCTGACCAGTATTCAGGTGCCGTGTACAAAGCAACCCGAGAAGCTGTGAAGAGTCAGGTCTGATTTTTTTTTTCTTTCTTTCTTTTCCTAGAAAACGTCTGGTCTTTGAATTCAAGTGCATTTGTTGTACCTGACTCATCTGTCGGGATTTGTGGGTGTTCTGATCTAGACAGGATGGTGGAATTGTGATCTGTTAAGCATAAGGTTCGTATTGATGCTCATACATGGGCGGTACTTGGCTAAGGGCTGCTTTCATGTACATGGCTTTGCCAGGAGCAGGCTCATTTCTCTTCCTTGTGTGCCCCTCCAAAGATGATGTGGCCCCTTTCCCAGGATACATGCTTCTGACTTGAGTCCTGACTCCTCCGTTTCCCCAGCCTCTTTATCCTGTCTTTGGTTGCTTTATCTCCTCCCCTGCAGTGGACTCTTATAAGACAGTGTTTCACGTGTCAGGTAGCGCAGGCTGGCCTGGAACATTCCATGTAGCTGAAGCTGGCTGATTCTCCTGCTGGCACCTTTTGGTGCATGCATTCCAGATGCGTGTCACCATGAACCACACTGTAGTAAGCCCTCTGCACCCTCTCTCTGCCCCTAGATTCATAGACTCTGCTTTGATTGTGGTTTCGTCTAAACTTCTTAAATGCCTGCAATTTCTCTGGTTACAATGGTTATCTCTATGAGTAAGTTATTTGGTGCCTTCCATGTCTTGGGAACTGCAGTGGACACTGAAGGGATTGAGTTAACTAGACACAGTCTCCACTGAGAGGGGCTAGCATTTGTAAAGGGAAAACACAAGCAACATAGGTCCCAAAGCCTAGGGCAAGTGGGAGAATGGGAGTTGGTAGGACGGGGGTGTTGGTCCACGTGAGTTAGTTTGTAAGACAGGAACATGGAGGCCAAGTGCTTAGAAAGAATGAGCCAGAGGTCTGCAGCATAATCAGGACTTCCTCCAGCTCCTTCCCCTTAACACTACAGTCAGAATTTCCATGGGCCAAGTGTTGTCTCCCCAGTTCTCTGTCTCCCGCCTTACCAATTGTTTATACCAGCTGCTGCTAATCCTGGTCTATCCTAAGAGGACTGTTGCTGTTGGAATCTGTCAGCTTGGGGACTTGACTGCAGAGACACTAGAGGAGTGCCAACTCAAAGGAAGCAGCTAGAGACGAACAAGGCCAGCGGTCTGCCACCAGCCACTTGTGCAGGTTCCCAGGCATGCCATCTGACTGGTCACATCTCCTCAGTTATTGGTCCTTAACTTCCAGGGAATGTGTACCCGGGGAGAAGGGGGTCCTCAAAAAGGAAGACAGCATGGGTTCCAGTCAGTATCTTCTTGCCTATGTATATTTAGAGAGACTTAAACAGTTACACGTTGCCTTGAGTAAGACTCTGCTATGGAGCCTTTTCTTTTCTTTTTATGGGAATGTCCTGGAATCCACACACTTGAGATGATGGTGGCTTTGAACCCTGTGTGAATGCTCTGAACCTGGATGGTGAGGCTGTGGACCTGAGCTTAGCCATGGTTGATTTGAATCTTGAGTTGTTACATGTGACTGTGGCTATGATGGGTGTGGGGAATACAGGGTCACTCTGACCTGTCATTCCAGACCTTTCTCCAGCTAGCCAGTGTGGTCTGCAGTGTCCATGGGTCAGGTATGCTGGCTGTGACTGTTCCTGCCTCTGCCTCCAATGATGTGGTCTCCTCTGCTGTCAGAACCCCAAGGACATTCTGATCTTTCACCCCTTTTCTCGTTTGTATAAATCAGAACAAATGCCCTGCAGCTGCCCCAGGCCCAGCAGCACTACAGGAGGAATGAATTGCCTCCTGGCCTCCGCCCCTCTTCAGAGGCTCCAGGTTCTGCTGATTTGGGATCATTCTATCAGGTGGAGGTGGGGACTTCCCCAACACCACAACCCTTCCAGGTTCACCCGGTCCCTCCCCTGAGCACCAGTACCCACTCTTTCTTCACTCCTCTGAAATCACATGACTGCCAGTGAGTGACCTTCATGTGGCTCTGTGAATCATCAGTTTTGGTGGTTTGGCGGGGGGTTGTTTTAGAGGGTGATTTATTCTGGCTAGCCTAGAACTTGCTTTGTAGACTACACTGGCCTCTGCCTTTGGAGCATGCTGGGATTGCAGATATGCCACCATGCCTGTCTACTCCTCCTCTTTTAAAATTGTGATAAAACACATAGGACATAACATTTAACACTCCAGGCATGTGGAAGTTCAGTGGCCCTGGGTACTCCCACTGTGGGGCAGCTCTCACTGCCATCCACCTCAGCTCTGTCATTATCCCAGCTGAAACTACCTCCATTAAACTCAGACCACCTCACTGGGGTCAAGTCCAACTCCCCCAGTTAAGTGGGCACCCGCAGTCTGCTTTTGCACATTGGCTTTCGAAGATGAAGGTCAGAGCTTGCTTGCCTTCATCAGAACTCTGCATGTTTTGCCATTTCTAAAATAAACCAGGCGCTGGCTATGGCCAAAGAGTTTATGAGATCAGTGTCTGCCCATCTCTGGCCCTGCCCATCTGCTTGGTCTGCACACTCTGCTCCCTTCAGCTCCACTGGGACCTGTGTAACCAACTCCTCCTCTGGTCCTTCCTCCTCTCAGTTCCCTGTATGTGCTGCGGTGCTGTGTTCCAAGTCTCCCCATGCAGAAAGGAGGTCTTTTTAACCCTGTAGGTGAGCCCCCACCCCAGCGCCCCAGCACTCAGACCTTGCCTTGCAGGTGGGAGATGATGGATGAAGGACTCTCCTTGGTGCCTGTCCTGTCTGTTAGTGTCATGTAGTGCCTACAGGTGTGTCTGCTTCCTGGACCTGCTGCAGTTCCATCCAGTACTTTCTTTGTAGCTATTTATTCATACTTGTCTTCCTCAGTCTGTCCATCTGTTCCCCTTGTGTCCCTCCTCCTGCCTTGGTGTAACAACTGACACACAGTAGGTGCTCAGCAGTGCCAGCAGATGGGGACATCCCTCTACCAGGCCAAAACCTGGAAGGACTACCTTTGTAGCCCCAGTATGCCAGAGTCCTTGGCATGATATCATAGCATGAACAGGGACAGGCCCACAGATAATGTCTCCACCCTACAGGCCTTTGGCATTCCCAAGCACCATGAACGCCATTGTCGCTCTCTGCCACTTCTGCGAGCTACATGGCCCCCGCACTCTCTTCTGCACGGAAGTTCTACATGCTCCCCTGCCCCAGGGAGCAGGAAGTGGGGACAGTCCTGGCCAGGTTGAGCAGGCTGAGGAAGAGGAGGGTGGCATCCAGATGAGCAGCCGGGTCCGTGCCCACAGCCCAGCAGAGGGTGCCAGCACCGAGTCCAGCAGCCCTGGGCCCAAGAAATCGGACATGTGTGAGGCAAGTGTCTCTGGGACCCCGAGATGGTTTACCTTTCTGTGGGAGGTGGGAGCATGAGAGACCCCCCAGGCAGGGTCCTGAGAGCATTCTTCTCAGCATCCCAGCAGGAGCCTTTTAAAGTGATTCAGAATCTGGGTGATCCTCCTCATGGGTCCTGGTACCGCTTTGTTGGAGTGAAGCAAAAGTCCCACTCCACCACCTCGAGGGAGGATCTGGGTTGACTGGGTTGGGTGGGGGTTCCAGCTGCTGCCAAAGTGGACAGGAATCAAGTGTCATTGTCATTTGGTTCTTCTGAGAAGCAGACATCATGTGGGAAAGTCCTTTGTTGTGGGAAGCTAAGGGACAGGGACAGGGTAGAGGAACAGGCCTGGGTAGGAGTGAGAGGGAAGGAAGAGTCTTAAAGGGCAAGTCATACAGGGTCCTGGAGGATCTCCTGGGGAGGGTCTTGCCTCAGTGCCTACCTGGCACAGTCCCAGGTTGGAACCCCTGAAAAATACACAGCCTTGGCTTGAGACAGCTCCAGTGGGTGGTTCTGTGTTCCACCTCCACTCCCAGCAGGAAGTCACAGTGGTGGGTTCTTAGGTTGCTACACTGACACTGAAGTCTCTGGCTGATGTAGTTGGAACCTCTCTCACCTGTGGCCAAGAACTCTGCTTGCAGTTTATTCTGGTCCAGGAAAGAGGCCTGCTTGGGGCCCTATAGCATCGCTTAGGAGAGTAACACAGCTGTGTACCCTGAGTCTAGCTGAGGCTTCCTCCTGAGATTCCCTTCTAGGGCCACTGGTAGGATTGGGCAAGATAAGCGATAGGAAACTCATCATACCTACTAGTAAGCCTCAGTGAGTCACAGCTGTTACTGCGAGCTGTCGGTAAAACATTTAACAGCCCTTGGGTCCTGGTTTTCTTAAAGTCTAAGATAAATATACATTGAAAAGCTAGTTATTTCTATACATAAAAGAAGTTGGGCATGACAACTCATGCCTGTAGTCCCAGCATTTCGGAGGCTGGAGTAGGAGGTTCATAAGCCCCAGGCCAGCCTGTGCTACCTTGTGAAACTGTCTTGAAAGGATTTGGGGGTGGGAAGGCCCTGGCATGATGGCTCAGTGTTTAAAGGCACTTGCTGCTAAGCCTGACTAATGGCCTGAGTTTGATCTCCAGAACTCACACTGTGGAAGAAGAGAGTCAACTCTTATGAGTGGGGAGTAAGGGAAGAACACTAAAGATGGATTGAAAAGCCATAGGGAAGTACTACATTTCCTTAGAAACAAGCTGGGCGTTGGTGGCGCCCACCTTTAATCCCAGCCACTTGGGAGGCAGAGGCAGGTATATCCCTGAGTTTGAGGCCAGCCTGGTCTACAGAGTGAGTTCCAGGACACACAGTGCTACACAGAGACCCTGTCTAGAAAAAAAAAAGAACCCCCCAAAAAAATTTAAAAAGGATTATGTTTTCTACATTTAGGTTTTTTGTCTGCTTCCAGCTAATAGATTTCTTGTCCTTGTGTGCAGGGCTGCCGATCACTTGCTGTAGGGCACCCAGGCTATATCAGTCATGATAAAGAGACCTCTATTAAGTCAGTCAGTCACCAGCACCCCAATCACCCCCAGCTCTTCAGCATTGTCCGTCAGGCCTGTGTCCGGAGCCTGAGCTGTGAGGTAAGGCTGGCATCAGGCTGTCTGCAGGAAACACACATGACTGTTAAGTTTTTTCTGTTTATAGAAAGCAAGGGACTTGCTTGTCTGTGCAGTGTGAGCATGGCTGCAATTGTTAGAGCTTAAGATAGGTTCTTACAGACTCTGGCTGTCTAAATAGGTGTTAGCTTTTCACTTTGAACAACAGACTGTTATTTTTTGTCCATTCTTAATGAGCATGTTTCTAAGATAGAACAGTTCCTGTGCTGTGTGGATTGTTGTACCAAGTATCACTTTTATATTCTATCAACCGCCACCCACCATGTTGGAACTCTTAGAACCTTATCAAGAATGAATCAGGCTGGAGAGCACTTGCTGCTCTTGCAGAGGACCCAAGTTCATTCCCAGCACATACATGTTGGCTTGCAACCCTCTGTAACTCAGTCCCAGGAGATCTTCTGACCTCCATGGGCACTGCAGGCATGTGTTGCACAGACGCACATGCCAGCAAACACTCATAAACAGAAAATAAAAATAAAGGTTTAAAAACAGCAAAAGGATGGTTTGTTCCCGAACTGCTACGTGGAGCATGAGTCTTAGCTTTTAGGTTTGATCTATCACACAGGCACATGGCCTGGCTTCTGAGCTTCACTGCTCCATAGCCACCTCATCTGATCCCTGGAGCACATGTCACTCGTTCTTACTGTCGCTTTACACCTCTTTTTTTTTTTTTAATGATTCCTTTATTTTTATTTCATGTGCATTCATGTTTTGCCTGCACATATGTCTGTGTGAAGTTGTTGGGTCCCCTGAAACTGGAATTACAGGCAGTTATGAACTGCCATGTGGGTGCTGGGAATTGAACCCAGGTCCTCTGGAAAAGCAGCCAGTGCTCTTAACTGCTGAGCCATCTCTCCAGCCCTGCTTTGCACCTCTTTATATTCCTTGATAATATGCTTAGCAGCAGCCAGATGTCATGTACATGGTAGCTACACATTCAGCAAATTTGTCAGGAGGGAAAGACTACAGAACTCTAAAAATAATGTGCTAGGGCTGGAGATGGCTTAGCGTTTAAGGTCATATACTGCTGTTACAGAGGGCCTGAGTTCAGTTCCTAGCACCCACATTGAGTGGCTCACACAACCTCCTGTGACTCCAGTTCCAGGGGATCCAACACCTTTGACCCCTGCAGGCACCTAACCCCTGTGCACTTAACCTCGCCACCACCACCTCCACCTCCATGTAATCTAAAAGAGTGTGCTGTTTTACTCTGCAGGCCCAGCAGTAGTCCATAGCATTTACTAGCGAGTGCTCTCTCTCTCTCTAGTCTTTCCTGAAGATCAAGTTGGAACATTCGGGTGCAGCTTAATGATAGGGCATTGGCCTACTGTGTCAAGGCCCCAAGTAACCCAGCACCACCAAAAACGGGAAAAGGGACCCAAAAGACTTTAGATACAGTTAGGAGATGGAATTTTGCCTAAAGTTATTATTACTTCCTCCAAGGTGTGCCCTGGCCGTGAAGGCCCTATCTTCTTTGGCGATGAACAACATGGCTTTGTGTTCAGCCACACCTTCTTTATCAAAGACAGCCTGGCCAGAGGCTTCCAACGCTGGTATAGCATCATTGCCATCATGATGGATCGGATCTACCTCATCAACTCCTGGCCCTTCCTACTGGGGAAGATCCGGGGGATCATCAATGAACTCCAGGGCAAGGCCCTCAAGGTGATGCTTGAAGAGGGTCACTGGCTCTGTTGTCATGGATGTTGAGTGCCCAGGCAGCAGTGGGCCTCTTGGCTTGTTTGAGGGCCTCTTGAGGTCTTGGCCTAGTGTCATGATGCAGAATGAGTGTCCCTTCTAACCAGCCTATAGTCCTCCTGATTTTACCTTACCTGCTGTTCTGGCACTCCTTCAGCCTGGTGTCTTTTAACAGTCTCTGGCTTCTTGCCTGGTGTCTTTGCTTCCTGTATTCTTCAGGACCCAAACTATCTTCTAGTCTTGTCTAGAGCCCTACCTAGGACACACACACACACACACACACACACACACACACACACACTGCAAAAGGGCATGCAGTGGGCATGGGCATGCTTTGGTCACAGACCCTTAGATTCAGTGGCCCATTTCTTGTCCATGCTCTGTCCATAGGCAGTAGAGAAGGCTGTTCATCGCTCATCTTCATAGATGGGGCAGCTGCGCTGTGTTAGAATGGGACTGGAGGGCCCAGGAGGCTGGTGAAAGTAGATGGTCATGTGCCCATCACCTACAGTGGTCTGTAGAATAAACCTGCCAGGGGGAGGCCAAGAGGACTTGGAGAATGGTGAATACCCAGCGGGAGCCCAAGGGGCCAAGTAGCATAGGAGAGGGGAGGAGAGGGACTACACTGACTCTTGGTCAGCAGAACCAGTCTGTGAGGTATTGCCGGGCCATTGGCATGTCAAGAGAGCAGAAGGAGAGAATCTAGGGAAACTGGGTAACAGTCACTGGAATGTTAGGTCCTAGCCACCACTGAAGAGCCACACTTCTCGCCCTCTGTGTCCAGGTGTTTGAGGCGGAGCAGTTTGGATGTCCGCAGCGTGCCCAAAGGATGAACACAGCCTTCACACCCTTCCTGCACCAGAGAAACGGCAACGCTGCCCGCTCTCTGACCTCCTTGACCAGTGACGACAACCTGTGGGCGTGTCTGCACACTTCCTTTGCCTGGTAACGAACCCGGGTCTTGGCACTGAGCCATTAGAACGTTTGACTGTGGGGCTGGCCGGCAGGCACCTAGGAGTTGGCTTTGCACTCTGAGGCCTGTTCTCATGTCTGTCTCCCTGCTGGATGGAAACAACATTTAGATGGAACTCACTTTGCATTGACACAAAGAACATTTCTGTACGGTGACCACCAAATCTCTAAAGTTGGCAGCAGGTTTTTGGCTCGGGTCTGGCAGTTTGGGCTGGTGGGGGAGCAGTCAGCTAGCTGGTGTGTGGAGTGAAGGTCTAGTGTACAGGTGTGCTATGAACAGGGAGCTCCTCCTTCCCAAACTGAGTGGCCTAGGGAAATGGAGTGTAACCTGCAGAGCCTCCGGACCTGAGCTTAGTGGGCATGTACTCTGCCCCTTCTAGCATTTGCTTTTGTGTGTGTACCACACTGGCCAGTTGATGGGCATCAGGCTGGTTTGTTCCTTAGCTGTGGGGAATGGTGAAGCATAAACAGGGATATTTAAGGATCTCTGTGGTAGCTTACAGGCCTTCAGGTAATGTCCAGGAGGGGTATGATGGGCTTGTGTTTGGGGGAACTTTCCCACTGACTTCTGAGGTATCTATACTAGTTAACATCAACAGGGCATAAGGTTCATTTCCTTCATCCTCGACAGCATTTGTTTTCCTTGGTTTTCTTTTTTTTTTTTCTTTTTTTTTTGTTATTAGATTTATTTTATGTGTAGGAGTGTTTTGTCTTCATGTATGTATATGTAGTGTACTACATGTGTGCTTGGTGTCTGTGTAGGTTAAATAAAGAAAGAAAAGGAGCCAGGTGATGATGGCACACACCTTTAATCTCAGCACTCAAGAGGTAGAGGCAGGCAGATCTCTGTGAGTTCCAGGATACCCAGAACTGTTTCACAGAGAAACCCTGTCTTGGGAAAAGAAAAGGAAAAGGAAAAGGAGTTGGCTCCTGTGGAACTGCAGTTAGAAATGGCCTTGAGCCACCACGTGGGTGCTGGGAACTGTGTGTGGGTCCCCTGTAAGAGCAACATATGCGCTTAACTGCTGAGCCACCTCTTCAGCCCCTGTCCTTGGCCTTCTTAATGATAGCCATGCTGACTTTATGAAATGGAATCTCAAGGCAGTTTTAATTTGTATTTCCCTGATAGCTAAGAATATTAAATACTTCGTCATAGACTTATTGGCTATTTGTAATTTCTTCCTTTGAGAATTGTCTGGAAGGTTTTTGGTTGTGTCTTTCTATAATGTAGCTGTAAGGACATTACTTCACTCAGTAGAACTAAAGAGCTGTCTAGTGTGCTACCTATGTTTCTTTTGTCTCCAAGGTGACTTCTGAATTGGGATTAAAACCAATAATCCCTCCAAACTTCCCCCAGCCCATTTTTCTTATCCCCTTTAATGGAGGACCAGACTCACATCTTGGACACTGTTTCCTTGGTGGTGGTAGTGGGGTCCTCCAGTATATTTGTATAGGTCATTTTCTGTGACCTGGGGGTTGAACCAAGGGCTTGGTGAGCCTCAGGTTCAGTTTTCCCATTGGCAGGGATACCTCATGGCTGGCATTGTATCCATCTCCAGGCTCCTGAAGGCATGTGGTAGCCGGCTCACTGAAAAGCTGTTGGAGGGTGCACCCACAGAGGACACCCTGGTCCAGATGGAGAAGCTTGCTGGTAAGGCTATTTATCGCTGCTGGGCCATCTATGGTGGCAACAGGGCCCCTGGCTTTGTGACTGCCACAGTGAATGGAGCTGGTACCTGGGCATCTGGATATGAACAAGGCTGAAGGGCTTTTGTGACAACCAGTTCTATGCTCTTGGTGATTTTGTTAGGATTCTGTCTCACATCCCTTGATGGTGCCTTGGTGGCCTATTCCAAGTGGGTTTTGGATTCCTAGGGCTCCCTGCAGGCAGCTCCACTGGGGAATCTCCAGGCAGCTCTCCTCACCAGAGTTCCCTCTATATAGCTCAGTTGGTCTCTTCCCCAGTCATCTTTATTTTTTTTTTTTTATTTTTTTATTTTTTGGCTTCTATAACCTTGGAAAGAAACCTTGTGAATCTTGTTAGTTTCAGGAACTTCCTGAGACTTGTATCTCTTGAGCCTTTCTTCTCCTTCTTAGAGGGGATGTTTCAATTCAGAAGAAGTCACTGTCCAACACCATTGCTATATCCATGCTTAGAATCTCTACGCCTTGGGTTTTGAATCCTGTGTGACTGACTTCCTAGGGTGGTCCCAGTGCACGATTGCAACCCTCAATTCTGGCCCAACTTCCATAGAGATTATTTGAGTTCTGGAGTTCATAATCCTGTCCCAACCTTCTTCCTTCCCTCCTGCACAGCTGAGAGGTGGGAAAGCAATGTTCACTTACAGTATATGGTATGCAGTTTGTTACTGATGATGCTGCCACTTACACCCCGTTGTAAGTGGATGGAGCTCTTTCCAGGTCGTCACTAGTTGAGCACTCAGTGTGTACACGCTTGTGCTCTGACGAGTACTGAGGAGCGAGGTCTCAAGAGCAAGGCACGCTCAGAGACGACAGACCTTGGAGTTGCCTTCCTATCCCTATGGAGCAGTCAGTACTAAAACTGTTTCAGGATGACTCACAAAGACGAAGGTTCTGCAGGCGGTCAGTCATGTCCTGGTGGGATTTGTGTACTGGAAGAAGAGTGAGATGTGCAGGCAGACAGGGATGGCAGCCACATTTAAACTGAATTGAGTCGTGAAGGATCTGGGTGTGTGTGCACAGGCTTGCTTTTGAGTCAGATAGAACTACTTCCCATCCTGGCTCTGTACTTACGGGCACCCTGCTCTCTGGGTCTCATTGTGTCATGCAACAGAGATGTTATTGTGAAGGTCCACCATGGGGACTAATGGAAGTAAAACGTTTGTGTCTTGTCTGGGTGTGGGGAGATGGGTGACATGTGGGGTGCAAGGACTGGCCCCTGGCAGAGCAAGCCTGATAAACACATGCTGTCTGCGCTGCATCGTCAAGCCTTCCAGCAGTAGAGAGTAGCCAGCATCTTGCAGGAAGAGCCTCTAAGATGTCTCTTTGCCCAAGCCTTCCTCCCTGTGCCCGCAAATGCTCAGTCAGCCACACATAGTCACCAGCCTCTCTAGGATACAACAGGAATGGTGTTGTAGCCATAGGTGCCCAGAGGCAGAATTGGCCCCAGAACCGGGCTGTAGCATCTAAGGGAAAGCATACACCATATCTGTTTGTCTGTCCTGTAGACTTAGAGGAAGAGTCAGAAAGTTGGGACAATTCTGAGGCCGAAGAGGAGGAGAAAGCTGCTGCTGTGCCAGAGGGTGCGGAAGGGCGGGAGCTGACCAGTTGCCCAGCAGAGTCGTCCTTTCTCTCGGCCTGTGGGAGCTGGCAGCCACCAAAACCTTCTGTCTTCAAGTCCCTCCGACACATGAGACAGGTAAGCAGAGTAGGGAGAGTGGGGGGTGTTGTGTGATATTTTACTCTTTTGGCTGTTTAGTCTTTTGACTTTTGGGAGAGCCTGCCACCCAGCTCCCAAATAAATCACAGGTGGAGGCTTATTCTTAATTATGAATGCCTGGGCTTAGCTTGGCTTGTTTCTTGCTAGCTTTTCTTAATGTAAATGACCCCATCTAGCTTTGGCCTCTGGGCTTTTATCTCTCTCTATTCCAGTATTCCTTTTCTTTCCTTCTTACTCTGTGTCTGGCCATGTAGCTGGGTGGTTGGTCCCAGACGTCCTCCTCCTTCCTCTCTCATTCCCATATTCCTCCCCATGTTTATTCTGTCTGCCTGGCATTCCTGTATAATTCTCTCTCCTGCCTCGCTATTGGCCACTCAGCTCTGTATTAGGCCATCAGGTGTTCTAGACAGGCACAATGACGCATAAACAAAAGTAGCACACCTTAAAATAATATTCTCCAACTGACACGAGCTCAGGCCACTGCAGGATACCTGTCCACTGGGTCAGAGCTTCTTCCACATCCACGGGCAGGGGTGACACAGGGACTTCTCAGTGGGTGGATGGCTGAGGGTACAGTGGATTTCAGGCCAGCTCAGCTGCAGCAGCAGTGCTCTT